TTAGACGCGCGACAAAAAGATCGACAGGACTGAACGACCAATGAATGGAGTTGAATGGGTCTTGTCTAGATTGACGTGGCTGGAGGCCAATGGCAGAAAAGCCTCAGGTGCCGCTTGCAGGACTGTCGCGCCGTGGGCTAGAGGTTTTGTGCGCTCTTTGTTGACGGCAGCGCAGTGTGTCTGTCTGACGCGAGAAAGATCCCTGAAGCTGGACGCCCCAGATTCTGCATTAATGCCGAGGCATCTGAAGATCGAGGTCTGGATGGCCGCGCCTAACAATTACAGTCAGAAGTCAGAAATGGAACAAAATTTGAGGTGACTACAGATGTTTAAATTGAGAGCAAATACACTATTTGTACAATGTCCCAAAAAATAAATAAATAAGTAAACAAATAAAATAAAATAAACAATTTAAAAAAATAAACATTTAGCATATTATTATTATTATTATTATTATTATTTAATACATAATAGTTATACATACACACGTGTGTGACAAATTTGACCCTCAAGCATGATGATTATTATTAGCCTATTATTATTAAAAATAATAAAAATTATTAGACAAATCAGAAAAATTCCAGATTACAGCTGTTTAAATTGAGCATAAAAGCACCATTTGTACAACTGACAGATGCAATTTTATCATTATTATTCATAATAGTAATATGCTTATTTTCATTTAATTCAATAATTAACATGTTGGTATTGTTATTATTAGTAGGTAGGCCTACTGACATTACCCAACAATTATTACTATTCAGAAGTTCTTCCTTATAAAAATTCTTACTTTTTTTAAGCACAATTACGAGAAAAATTTGAATAGAAATGTAGGAGACGAGTCAAGAAAACGTTTTTGTTTTTTGTTTTTTTTTCACATGTCCATGAAGTACATTTTGTCTGTACAAAGTAATGTGAATGGTATCAAAGGAACAGAGGCCTCGACACTGATCGACCAATAACTTAACCGCATTTAGAAAATAAATAAAAATAGAACATGAGCCACTGGATGCCATGGTGAATTCATGAGCCACTGGATGAATTATGGAGTGATAAAAGCATACAATTAGTCAGGGTATAATGGATTTTCTTTAGTGTTTAGAAATGTATTAAACAAAGATGAGGTCAAAGTGCAAGTGATAGGTCCAGTTATGGCAGAAATGTCAAACTGGGGTATCCAGACTGACAGACAAGCACTTACTTACTCACACACACACACACACACACACACACACACACACACAATCCTTGTGGGGACTCCCCATAGGCGTAATGGTTTTTATACTGTACAAACTGTATTTTCTATTACCCTACACCTAAACCTACCCCTCACAGAAAACTTTGTGCATTTTTACAATCTCAAAAAAACTAATTCTGTATGATTTATAAGCTTCTGTACCCATGGGGACCTCAATTTAGTCAATTCCCCATGAGTTGGTTTGTATTCAGATTGAAGTCCCCACCAGTATAGAAAAACATGTACACAGATACACACACACACACACACACACTAACAACAGTACGCACACAGGCCTATTAATATAATTTTGTGGTCAAGAAAACTAATGATAAACAAGCAAGCTTACATGCAGAGAAACAGGAAAATTAAAAATAGATGACAATAGTAAATAAGTGGATAAATTAAAGCAACAATTGTCTTCAAATAGAGGGCAACATGTCTAAGATTCTCCTAATATAACAACTACAGAGCCCTAAGTTTAACCTGCGATAGGGTTCAGTCAGTTGTGTGTATATTTTAGTCCACACCAGTGCCATCTGCAGAACTGGAGAGACAATTGTATCTTCTGCCTACCATGAATATGCATTTGTCTGGCTTTATTTGGCCATGTATCAACTTCTAAAAAAAACCTGTCTGTGATACTAATGTTATGCAATCATATATTTAAGCATAATTACATTACAGGTGTAATGTACATTACTGTTTAAAAGTTTGGCCAGTAATTAATAATTTATTCAGCAAGGATGCATTAAATTGATAAAAAGTAACAGTAAAGACATTTACAGTGTTGCAAAATACGTAAATAAATTTCAAATAAATGCTGTTCTTTTGAACTCTATTATTCATCAAAGAATCCTGAGAAAGAACATATCACAGTTTCCACAAAAAATATTGAGCAGCACAACTGATAATAATAAGAGATGTTACAAAATTAGCATATTAGAATGATTTCTGAAAAAATCTGGCTTTGCATATCAGAGCAATAAATAGCATTTTTAAATATATTCAAATAGAAAACAGTTATCTTCGATTGTAATATTTCACAATATTACTGTTTATACTGTATTTTTAATCAAATAAATGCAGCCTTGCTGAGTGTAAGAGACTTGTTCACAACTCCTACCCTTTGCATGTTAGTTTATTACACATTTAATATGATTATGCATGCAGCTACAAGAACAGTAGCCAAGTTTTCTTCCACTTTTTGCGCTGTTTATTATTAAATGCATTTAAAAGGTTTGTGAAAAATGCTGTCTCCAGCCTGTTTCCATCCAATTGGCCCTTTACCGATAAAACAGTATGTATAATGGCATCATCCTTTTAAAAAAATGAACTGTTGAAAAAGTAAAAAAAGTAAATTAAATAATAATAAAATGCCACTTAAGCAAAGAGACATTGTTTCAATGTCTGTTTTTTCTATTTTGAATTACTGTTAAACATTTTAATGCGCTAATACATTTTAGCAAAAAATCCTTGGATGAAAACTTGACAAGTGTTTCAGCTCCATTTAACACATTTTACCACATTCAAATATAGAATTAAACAGATTCTTCTAAAAAAAAAAATGGCACACAGAAAGTGTGGAAAATGTCTGTTCCGTCTGTGCCTGACTGTAGCATCAGCATAATAAATCCTGAATTTCTCCATTACTCCTTAAAACCTCAAAACAAGCAGGCTCACCTTCAAAGGCACACCGCAGGCAAACTAATTAAAAAAAAACACACAAGAATAAAACCTGTCCAGCAACATGCTTTAGGTTAGAATGTTTGTGTGTTTGTTTAAGAATGAATGAGACAGAAAAACGACAGATGCCCCAGTCATGACATAATACTACCGAGTGTAATAAGTCATTTTCCATAGTTACTAAATTTACCATAGTTACTACACAGTTATAAAACACTGAAAACATGAAAGTCAACAATCCAAACAGTGGCTGATGACAGATGTGCTGTCCAATATACATATATATATATATATATATATATATACACACACACAAGCTAATTCATTTTTGGTCTGTGCAATTGTGACAAATATGGTGTTACATTATTACAAATTACTCTGAAAGTGCTTCACATAATTGTTTATGTGTATCATGATACAAAAATGCACTAACTTGAATAAATAGAAAATGAAAAATACAGTACATAAGAGAAACAACTTGAAAATGCTGCAGATTTTCAGTAATTTCCTATTTTGCAGTGACTCTAGCAGGCATTCCGACATTCAACACAAGACACAAGAGTTCTCGCAACTTTTGGTTGGACCTTTTTCTATTTTTTACTTGTGTATTATATTGTCATAAGAGGTTATGTGTAATAGGTATTTCCTTCCAATTTCTAAATTGTAAAATAGCTCATACTTGGTTGCGGCCCCAGGGGCCACTGTTGTGTCTTTATCAGGTGCACATGCTGGAGCCACTGCAGCTTGTGCTGATTCTAAAAGATCGCCAGGTTCAATCAGCCCACTGGGTCGGTGTTGCAGCTCTCCTCATGTCACAATGACCTTCTCTATCAATCCCTCTATATTCCCCCTCACTCTTTATTTTCTGCCGCAGTTCGATCTGTTTTTGGTCATTGAGTCTTTGACCTCATTTCAGTGTGACTGATCTGAATCTGCCATGTTACTACATTCTCCTGCACTCTGACTCAAACTTAACCTTCCTCCTTTCTGACCCTATCTGAAAGCTCTTTCTCTACAAAGCTCCGACTTTTTGGCGGGAATTCACTAAAAATGAATGAAGCATCAGTGAGTACATTTCAATACGGTACACTGCTAGACCAGTTAAGATTGGATCAGAGATGGCCACTTGTATTACAGTGAATAGGAGAATGTTGAAACGTCCAAGATAATCAGCAAAGTCATGGTTTGGCCTTTACAAAAATTCTTGGTGTTCGATAACAGCCGTGAAGTGGTTGGTCTTGTGAAACTTTGCTCTATACGATAAGTGTATGGAGTGCCAGCAGAATGAGTCCTAAAAACCCCAAAACTATTTAACTAATTCTGGTTCCGTTGTCCTCAAGTCAGTGGGTTTTTCGAATGGGTTTTTGGATAAATATCTGTAATAACACAAGCTTGAGATATTTTCACGCTATTCTACAACATACCGTAAAATACATCACTAATACCTTTAAAGGGGTCATAAACTGCCTTTTTTTATTATGTATACTGTTCTCTGAGGTCCACATATAATGTTATCAAGATTTGTACATCAAAAAACATCATAATTTAGAAGTAATAGGCTATTTTCTGTCCTGTTTTGACCCTCTGTTTGAATAAGTGTGGCGGATTGTAGACTCGGAAGTAAACGCCCACTGCTAGATTGGCTAACAGTTGTGTATGTTTGACAGCCTACATCCTTCATAGATGGTGTGTTTTAGGTTAAAAGTACATATCAAACGATCTGTAATAACAAAGCAATAGTGACCACGTAATTAAAACAGTTACTCACACTTGTGTGGTGCGACATTACTGTCGGATCCAATATAGTCGCACAGCATCGTCTTTTAGTGTCTATCTTTCTAAAAATCCTGCGTCGAATTGTGCTACGAATCTGCGAACAAAGGATCAAGTTCTTACTGATCTGCACAGCGTCTTGCTGTCTTTGGAGCATCTTTATCGCTTGGTTTCTGCGTAGACCTGCGTTTGCCTCTCTCATTATTTACACTACAGACGCGAATCGGTGGGCGGGGCTAAACAGGCAGTGATGTAGAAGCAGGCGTTGATCTTCTGCGGAGGCGGGGTTTAGCCACACTATTACGTCATAAAGTGGCACATTCCACAACCTGTCATTTTTGGCCGTTTGGCTTTAATATTGGCTTTAGTAAGCTGTTTTTATACGAATGAGAAAGTTTTGAGTTCTTAAACTTACAGGATGTTTTTATAGTACAATGACCTCTCATATTATGTCAAAAGATCAAGGGAATTAGCAAATTAGCAAATGGGTTAGCAAATAAGATGCGTGCAGAAATACTGCACTGGCACAACCGTTTAGTGAATTCACCCCACTATATTGCTCTTTCGTTCTTTTCTCCCAGGTGGTGAGAGGCCCCTTTCCCTTCTCTATTCTCCATCTTTTGTGCATTCTGTCTTTTCTCAGCCCATCTTAAGCATGACCTATTGTCATTAATCAGTCCTAAACTGTGCCTTTATGGTCCTCTTTGCCTTAGTCCCCTGTCCAAGTCTGTCTTTCCAGCCTTTGTCCATTTGCTGGTTCTCTCTCTCTCTCCCTACCCCCGGTTCCAACTCCTCCCTCCATCCTGACCCTTTCCCTTTCTTTCTCCCTTTCTTTCTTTGACCGCTGCTTTCCCCCGTGCCCTTTCATCCCAGCCGCATTGCTCAGTGTATGTGTAGGTGCTCACTGCAGGAGTCTTGTCGAGATGGTGGTGTGGGCCAAACGAAAGAGGGTGAGGGAGAGGGGGAAGAACAGGGGGATGGAGAGAACTGGTCAGGGCAGGGAGGGACAGAGGAGGCCATGAAACTGTTCACCTGCTGAAAGCAGCGTTCCTCCGTCCCTGCCACCGTCTCCACTCGGCTGGAATCCTCTACTGGTTCCAGAGGAGCCAGAGAGGAGGAAACAGACGAAGGAGAAGAGGAAGATGATGCCGGGGGTGCCAGATCCCCGTGAGCGGCGGCGATGAGCCAGAACGTGAAACCAAAGAGAAGCCAGGAGAGCAAGAAGGAGAGGGTGAACACCACGAGCATCCAGCGCCAGCGGATGTCCACGCAGGTGGTGAAGAGGTCGGTGAGGTAGCGCTGGCCCCTTTCGCTCATGTTGACGAAGGTGACGTTGCAGCGCCCGTCCTTGCCTACAAAGCGCCGTCGGGGCCGGCGGGACTGGCCGCGGCGTTCGTGGGGCGTTGAAGGCGAGAGGGCAGACGAGGACTTTCTCTTGCTCCTCTCCCACCTCCCTTCTGCCCCAGACTCCCCCCCGAGCGCCGAGCCACACCCTCCTCCTCCTCCCCTCCTCCCTCCCCCTTCTTCATCATCGTCATCCTCCGCGTCATCATCATCATCATCCCTCTCTCCGCTCCTTCCTCCATTGCTATCGTGAAGGTTGAGCCCTTTGCCATTGCAGTTGGGTGAAGGAAGTGTGCCTGACTGGGAGGAAGTGACATCATCACTCTGCGCCAGCCTCATGATTTCCTCCTCGTCCAGAGGGGTGTCCACAGCTGCACTGAAATTCCGCTTCACCCGAGCAGCTCCCATTATTGGCAACCACAGACTGACTACAAAAAGTCTGGGAGAAATGAAGCGTTCAAGAGTTTGCCAGATAAATCCAGAGTCAAAGTGGATAAAAAATATGGATGCAGCAATATATATCCAAAATATGAGTTGTAGATTGTATTCCACAGTGAGGCTTATGGCCTGAAAGAGTCCTTATTGTCATTCGATCCCGGCAGCCAATCATTGCCCAGAGACGGAACACAATCGCATTAGAAATCATCTCTGACATCATCAAAGAGTCACTACTTGAGTGGTATGTCCACTATAGGTAACTGTCTGGATGATTTTACTGAACGCAAAGTTTCAAAGTTGTTAGATGCATGCAGTGAATAAAGAATCCAGTTTCAATGCAGTTTTTTCAGTTTTAGCAATAGTTTTGCTTAGGTTAGGTGGTGGGCAGAGACCAGACAGAGGAAAACGGTGCTGCTTTAGGTCTATGCTTAACGTATAGCAACTTCATAAGAAAGTGAGGAACTAAAAGGAACTTCTTGTCCAGGCCCTTGTCATCTCTAGGCTGGACTACTGCAATGCTCTTCTGGCTGGACTTCCATCAAGCACAATCAAACCTCTACAAATGATTCAGAATGCAGCGGTACGACTGGTCTTCAACGAGCCCAAAAGAGCCCATGTTACACCTCTCTTTATCTCCTTGCACTGGCTACCGGTTGCGGCTCGAATCAAGTTCAAGACATTGATGCTTGCATATAGAACAGCCACAGACTCAGCACCCGCCTACTTCCACTCACTACTACGAATCTACATCCCCTTCAGAAGTCTGAGATCCGCTAGTGAGCGACGCCTCGTGGTACCATCACAGAGAGGCTCAAAATCACTTTCCAGAACATTCTCGTTCACCACTCCTGGCTGGTGGAACGATCTTCCCACCCCTATCCGGAATGCTGAATCCCTGACAATTTTCAAGCGACAGCTGAAAACCCATCTCTTTCGAAGCTACTTGACTTCATAAAAAAATAAAATAAAAAAAATAAAAAACACTCTCTCTTTATTTATTCCTTCTCTTTCTAGCTTGTACTTATTTGAACAATGTCTAAGAACTTGGTATTACAACCACTTCCTGTGTCTGTTTGCCTCTTTAAGAAGAATCGCTTTATGTATCCCCCAATTGTAAGTCGCTTTGGATAAAAGCGTCTGCTAAATGACTAAATGTAAATGTAAATGTAAAAGGCACAAACAAACAAGGCAAAAGCTCAGGCAGAGCAGAAGGATGAACTTATAGAACGTGAAGGAAAAACATAAACAAGCCTCAGTATTAAGCTTAAGAACATATAGAGGGAAATGGAAAAGAACAGTTTGACATGCATTAAATTGTCTAGAACATATTTGTGTAATAAATTATGAAATGAATGAAAATAACAGCATGCATGTACAGACCAAGCTTTCCCTTTAGGACCTCTTCACATTTCCTTATTTAAATGGTGAGATGTTTAAAGACACAAGAGAGACATGCAATTAATATGAAAACTGGTCAACATTTCCTAGCAAATATGACCTCTTTGTCTTCAATATTGAGCAAATATAACTCTGGAACACAGAACAAGTCCATTTCATATTAGACATCAAAACAATTCAAACAGTCAAAAGTGACATTCTGCCACAGTCATGTTTCCATCTCCAGTCTGCTTTCAACAGATTTTCCAGTCTCACAGCAAGAGCTAATTTCTCCAAAAGAAAGGAACATTTTGATTGAAGTTCTATAACTGAATTATTATTCAAAATTTGACAAGGAAAGTGCACACATTACAATAGTAAGAGGTTCAGAGTGAGATAAATTATGACCTGTTGATTCACTTCGAACTCTCCAAAAGCTTTAAAAAGCTTGGCGATGCTTTGAGATCTTCCTCAGAGTACAAGTCCAGTTTGGTCATCAACAAAACACATGCAATTGGTGAAATGTCCCCTAAAAATTAACATTAGGTCAGACAAGTGTAAGCTGAAGCACAGATCTTTAACATCACAGATTTAAAAAATAAAATGATTGGGGAACCAAACGTTCAGACCTGATAAGTGGTGTTACCTTTTCATATACCTCCTTTGAGAAACCTGTAGTTTGAGGCTTAATAAACGTGATAGAAAAGAGAATCTTTAAAAAAGCTGTCTAGTCATGAAAAGACCACTTGCACAGGAACATATCCAAGGATGAAATGAGAAAATATAACACTCAAAAGAGAATCAAGAAATGTGAGCATGGAAAAAGAGCATTTCTAAAGTGAGAGGTGCACAAGGTTTCATCTTTAAATATCTGCTGGCCTTGAAATTTGTGGTAGAATATTTCCACGGCAAATACAACTCAAGAATAGTTTGTCAGGCCCCTGTCACGTTCCTTATTATTTGAATCTGTGGTTTTTGCTTTGAGGACATCACAGTCTCTGTTAACTCCTAGAGAGAAAACATGTTATGAAAGTTAATATGAAATTTCAAGACAAGATAAAACTAATAAAAAACATCTCTTTGTGACATGAATTCTGCATTGCAAACATGCTCAATATATGCTGATTATAATAAAAATAATTCCAATTTCAAAATTCTAACAAGCTTTTTTATTTTATAGACTCATAAATAAAAAATGTATAATTACCAATGCTGACAGTTAATGAAGTGCATAGATCATCCTGTGTCTTCTTTCTTTGCCCTTCCAGTCAGCAGAAATCGGCTGCAAAAGATAAAATATTATGTAAAAGATAAGCGTCTTCCTAAAAAAAGGTACTTGGTCCCTCAAATTTAAACATCAACTATAACATATATTTTTTCAGTTCCATTCTGTGTCACTAGTACCATCAATTACACACTTCACCTTTCAAAAAGCCCCCTTTAAAAAGCAACTCTCTCTCTCTCATATATATATATATATATATATATACAACGACAGAGACGTGAGACGTTACACAGCAACACAGCAAACAGTAATAGAAGACACAAGACGAAGAGTAATCCAAAGGCTAGTGTGGGTCTGAGATCAGCAAACAATGTCCAGAGAGCTAGGCAAAAGAAGAATCCAAGACAGGCAGGAGATCAGGAAACAGGCAATCAGGCACAAAACTAGACGTGACTAGACTAGAGCTAGGAACTAGACAAACCTCGGAAATGGCTCCGTAACGTTGCTATCACTGACGTGGCGATAAGCGCAAAGAATACTCGGCAGTGAGAAAGAGGAAGTCCATGGCTTATGTAGGGTGTTTGATTGGTTGCAGCTGTGTGTGTAATCAGTGCAATGGATGATGGGAAATGTAGTTCGGTGTGAAGTCCAATAGTAGTGTGGTGCAAGAGTCCATCATAATGAGCGGGTGATCTCTGGTGGTGAGTGAACGGAAGGGCAGGCACAGGATTCGTGACATAGCCCCCCCCCCCAAGGAGCGGCTTCCAGATGCTCCCAAGATAGCAAAATCCAGGAGGGCAGTGGAGCGGAGGCGGAACAGGGGGAGGGACGGAGGGCCAGGTCCACGTGGAAGTGGAGAGACCGAGGACTGAGGCAGAGCCGGCAGAGCAGGGAACCAGGACAGAGCCGGCGAAGCAGGAAGCCAGGGCGGAGCAGAAGACCACCAGAGCAGGACAGAACACCCCCACGGAGGAGCAGATGGAGCAGAAGACCACCACGGAGGAGCAGACGGAGCAGAAGACCACTACGGAGGAGCAGACGGAGCTGAAGACCACCACGGAGGAGCAGACAGAGCAGAAGACCACCACGGAGGGCCAGATGGAGCAGAAGACCACCACGGAGGAGCAGACGGAGCTGAATACCACCACGGAGGGGCAGACGGAGCAGAAGACCACCACGGAGGGCCAGACGGAGCAGAAGACCACCACGGAGTGCCAGACTGATCAGGAGACCATGGCAGAGACTGAAACCTAGGGAGAGCAGAGACAGACAACACAGACAGTGCATTCACGGTCTCAGAGACCGAGGCAGGGAACACAAGAAGTTCATCAATAGTCTCCCTGGTGACCACTGCACGGGCAGACAGTTCATAAACCGGCTCACTGATTAGGATTGGCAAGGCAGACAGTTCAGCAGACACGTTTGGGGAAACGAAACAGGCAGACAGTTCATGAATGGTCGTAGTAGTGACAGGGTTAACGGGACAGACAGGGAGTGCATTTACATCTTCTGGGCTCATAACTGGACCAATGGGGCAGATAACAGGTTCCTTGATTGGAACTGGGCAGATAGATGGTTTGAAATTAGACTTATCGCTAACAGAAACCAAATAGGCAGACAGTTCAAAGTCAGATTAGTCAGTTAGCAGCTACATTCGTACAGACAGACCGTTCAAGACCAGGTGCATAGACGGAAACTGAACTGGTAGACATTTCAATGAGTGAAACCAAACTGGCAGATAATACACTGTCAGACTCATTTGTTGAAAGAGGACAGACAGATAGTTCAAAATTAAACTCACTGACTGAAACTGGACAGACAGACTGTTCACTAGTGGTCTCTTTGGAAATGACAGAGTTAACAGGGCATACAGAAAGTTAATTTAAGGTTTCCATGGCAGTGACAGACAGGAATGAGAGTTCCTGAACAGCCCTTATAGCCGCAGCAGAACAGTCAGGACGTTCACAGACAGCATCCTCAGGTGTGACAGACAAGGCTGAGAGTTCAGAAACAGCTTCTTCGGCTGGGTTGAGACTGGGCAATAGTTCACAGACAGCCTCTTTGGCCAGTTCAAGACGAGACAATAGTTCGTAAACGGCTTCCACAGCCGTGACAGAACAGGCAGAGAGATCACAGACGGCCTCCATAGCCGTGAAAAGACTGGCAGAGAGTTCATAGATGGCCTCCTTGGCCGGAACAAGACAGGACGAGAGCTGATAAGTGAAAACCACTGACACCTCTGGAGGTTCTGCAGCGATTGCCGCCACCTGTAGAGGTTCTACAGCAGTAACATCGGGAAACAGGGAGGGTTCAGTAATGGTCTCTTCGACCACGACACGACAGGCTGAGAGTGCATTGCTGGGCGCCACCACCACGCAAGGAGCTGAAGCAAGCACCGCCGCCTCGGGAGGTTCTGCAGCATACGCCGCCACCTCTGGAGAAACTGCAGCGGGCGCCATCGCATCGGGGAACACAGCAGCGAGCACCACTACCTCAGGAGGTTCTGCAGCATCATCTGCCACCTCTGGAGACACCATTGGGGATGCCAGCTGCGCGTGCAGACACCAGCGGTGCATTCCTCACACTGGATACCAGACTGGTATACCGAGGGACTGACCTTGACGATCTGGGTGCAACAGACAGGACGTGACAAGACTCTGGATGATCAGCTGTGATGTGACGTGTTCTGGACGATCAGCTGAGACGTGACGAGACTCTGGACGATCAGCGGTGACATGACTTGATTCATGAAGATCAACTATGACTTGACTTGACTCTAGAAGATCAGCTGTGACTTGATTTAGCTCAGGAAGATCAGCTGTGACTTGACTTGACTCAGGAAGATCAGCTGTGACTTGACTTGACTCAGGAAGATCAGC